CTTTTTCTGCAGTTTGAGAAAGTCTCTTTAAAACAACTTACACAATCCTGGAGGCAGGTGGTTTGAGGTCACCATCTGCTCTGCGGGAGAAGAATGAGGAAATCTCCTCCCATGCAATAAACTGCCTCTGGAAACCTGCCGAAGGGTCAGCTATGGGTCGGTTCCGACTCTATGGTACACAACAACTACTTTCAAAAGAACAAAAACCACAACTCAGAAAAAAAAAAACCCAAACCAATCTACTTCCATCCCTGGGGTGAAGGAGGTGCTGAACTGCGAACCAAAAGGCTGGCAGTTCAGGTCCACCAATTGCTTTGCTCTCATTACAACGTACAGCCTCAGAAAGCTGATGGAGGAACCAGGAGCCAGAACTGACTTGGGCAAAGGGTTCTGATAATTCCGTGCTCTCAGGTCAAAGTCCTGGAACTGTCTCTATAGCAAAGGGTTTGGCTTTTGCCTTTTTTTTTTTAAAACAAAACAAAACAACCAAAACAAAACCAATTACCAAAACTACAAGCAGCAGATCAAAGACCTGAGCCAGGAGTTCAATGAAAATGCAGTGTTTGTGTGGCAGTACTCAGGAGCCCAGAGGTTTTATTTGCCCCAGTGACATGGGGATCAGGGTCCACACAGCCAGGCAACCTTTCTAAACCTCACCCTTTTAGAGATTTCTAGGAAGATTTTTTTAATCAGGGAAAATTATGGGGGTGGGAAGGTGGTTTCCACCTCAGGCTCCGTGTATTATCATTCCTAGTAGACAAAACGGAAATGAATGAGTTAGCACAAAAGCAATTTATTTTCTGAGCCCTCTCTACCACTGGGAATATAAATAATTACAATCTGAAGCTGCTGATAAGCAGTTAAATCTAGCTGGGCTCAGGCAGGCAGGAGGAACTTCTCCCCCAGGGCCTTCCTCCGCAGACTGGCAAGTGCCCTGGGTGCCAGAGAGGCCTCACGGGGAAGGGAGCGAGTGGGAGCCCACTGCTGGCACAAGCAGAGGTGCCCACAAGCCATTTACAGTCCCTGCATCAGAACAAAGGGACTTATTTGCCTAGTGCAGCTAGGAGTTGCTCCTTAAAGACTCATGTGGGCCTGGGAGAGGATGCAGCTGGAGAAGCAACCTCTCTCATCTCTGCAGGAGATCGGGGTTTTGTGAAACTCTTACAGTAACCTGCCCCCCTGGGCTGATCCTCCTCAGTGGCTGATGACACCCATGGAGTCACTTAAAGAAGCTGAAGTGTGCCCCTGGGGACCATCCGTTTGGAAAAGCAGGTTCCAAAAGACCTGAGAACAGGAGCTCCTGGGACTTCCAAGTAGAAAAGAGACCAAAAAGCAGCTGCTCTCTGCCCGAAAGGAACCAGCCTACTACTCCTCAAAGCTGAGTCCTGGGAAGGGGCAGAAGAAAGGCTTTCCTCAGCCTGGAGTCACCCTCCTTTAATAGCAGGGATATGAACAAGAGCAGAGTCACGTGACAGGTCCCCCAGTCACAATGAAAACACATCTCCCAACAACTACCCCGTGCAGCACCCTTTCTAGTGTGGCTGGATTGACTGCCTTTGCTCTAAGATGACAGAGGAGAGGATAATGAAAGAGCTGGAGACAAGGAAAGCAAATCACAGCTCCTCACACACACAGTCTACACCTCAGCAACTTCGGGCTGCTTGAACTATGCAGGCCAAAGCCAGAAGAGGCATTCCGTTCTTCCAACATCAAAGGGCTAAGAGGGGACCTGAGCAAGGTCACTATCATCCAGTCACGTAAAGGCTGGCCCAATTCCACCAGAGAGCGGAGACTAGTGAGAAGAGTGGGCGAAGCAGGGAAGGAGGCTGGGGAGCCAGAGCAGAAGGCAAGAGCGGGCTGCAGACTAGCCAGAGGGCGGAAAGTGGACAGACAAGCCCTCTAAGCACAACACCCCTCTATTTCTGGCCGCTGCCGGGGGCATGAAGTTAAAAAAGCAAAAATTTAGAATTGGATTGCTCTACCACGGACGTTACTATGGGACCCTGGAAAAGCCACTTTGTCCAAACTCGAGCTGTCATTTCCAAGGTGGAGAAGATAGTAACACCATCTCAGGAGCACTGTGAGGATCGGCTTCTTTGGGACTGAAGACTGCCAAAGCGCTGTGGTTAAAGCACCCAGCTTCTAGTCCAAAGGTTGGTGGTTTGAAGCCACCAACTGTTCCACAGGAGAAAGGACGCAGTCCACTGCTTTAAGAAGTTAAAGCCTCAGAAACCCTAAGGGGCAGCTCTGCTCTGCTCCGCTCCGCTCTGCTCTGCCCTGTAAGGTTCTGTGAGTTGGAACTGACTCTGCAGCAGCGAGTCATTGAGAGTTAGCATCTGTGCACAAAAGGTCAGAACAGCAGGCAGGCCTGAGGCTGTGCCTATCTGCAGGACTGGCCCTGGGCTGGCACAGGGGAACTTGGCCCTCAGGGTGTTCCTAATCAACAGCTAACTGATAACGGTGATCTGCTGTACTCAGTGTCAGCTCGGTGGTGTATGTGGTCCACAGCGAGCTGCACTGCAACCCCAAAGACCTCATCTCAGTTGTGGTTCAAGTTCGCCCACTATTGCTCTGCTCAGGAGAAAGATGGTACATTCCTCCTGCGTGATACACAGCCTCTGAAAACCCAGTGGATGGTCAGCTTTGAGTTAGTCCCAACTCGATGGAACAAGTTCAAGTTTGTGCCTAGAATGTACAAACACTATGGTTTATGTTGAATATCTATCTCCCTTGTGGTACACGCTAGGCAGTACGTGCTTACATGACAAAGAAAACTAAAAGCCCAAGCCCACTGTGTGGTTATTATGTACCATCAAGTCGGAACCAACCCATAGAGGCAGTAAATCACACGGAGGAGACTGCCCACCTTTCTCCTGCAGAGCAGCTGGGGGATTCGAACCACGTGCCTTGACTACTAAGTCACCAGAGCTTAACCCTGTAGTCCATTCCAATTCATGGCAACTCTATATATTACAGAATAGAAATGCTCCCCAGGGTCTCCTTGGCTACAATTGTTACAGAGGCAGGTCTCCAGGCCTTTCTTCCATGGCACCACATGGTCAAATTAGTAATCAAGTACACACTATTTGCACCACCCAGGCCCCTGATTCAGCTCCCGTATAAACCTCGGGCACTGAGTCTCCAATAGGATTTCTCCCACGGCAGAAAAATGACATGTCGGTTCCTGCAGTTTTTGTTGCTATAATTCTCATGTATCTCTGATCTCTGTAACATATGTACCTTCATCTCCATTGTTTAGATTAAGAAAATTAGCACAGAGAGATAGAAATGATGATGCCGACACAGGATAGGACAGGGTTCAGATCTGCCATTCACAGGATTACTATGAGTCGTACTTGACTCGATGACATACCAACAACAACATGTAATATGTGTTGTTCTGGCAAATCTATAAATGTGGGAGGCAGTCTTGGGGACTTGCAATTATAGACCTGTACCTAAACTGAGCCCACAGAGATCCCACCTCTCTCAGGAAGGTCTGCTGTCACAAGCTGGGTAGAAGGGTGCAGATCGGTAGAAGTTGGGACCCCAATAACCCACTAAGTCTCTGTCCTTAGACAGGGGAAGGAAGGAGAGGGAGAGAGCTGATACTTCTTGAAAGCTGGGAGCCAGTTACTATGCTAGGTGCTCGACCATCATCGTTTCATTTCCTCATCATCACATCGTTATTTCTATCATTTGTTGTTGTTGTTATGTGCTGCCGAGTCGCTTGCAACTCATAGTGACCCTTTGTACAACAGCCCTAAACTCTGCTCTATCCTGTGACAAACAATCACACTGCCTCTGACACACCCATCCCGATTACCCCAGTCACTGAATCAATCCATCTCATAGAGGATCTTCCCCTTTTGCGCTGTCCCTCCACCCTCCCAAGCATGATGTCCCTCTCCAAGGACCTGTCCCTCCTTATAACATGTGCAAGTATGTCAGATGAAGCCTTAGAATCCTTGCCTACAAGGAGTACCCTGGTTTAACCCCCTCCAGGATGAATGTTTGTTTTCTTGGCAGTTCATGGTACTCTCAATACTCTTCTCCAACACCACAGCTCAAAGGCATCAATTCTCCTTCTATCCTCCCTAGTCATTGTCCAACTCTCTGATGCAGTGATTGCAAAGACCACAGCCTGTATCAGATGCACCTTAGTCTCCAGAGTGACACCACTGCTCTTCAGTACTTTGGAGAGGTCCCTAACAGCAGACTTTGCCATAACAATATGTTTTTTTTTTAATTTTCTGGCTAGAAAATCAGGCAGTAAGAGACTCAGTAACGTGCCTGATCACACGGCAAGCCACTGAAGGAGCTGAGATTCCAGCCCAATGCTGTCTGGTTTCAGAGATGCCAGGGCCCTGGCTCTTTCCAGCACCCACACTCCCTGCCCAGGTGCCCCGGCCTGTCAGGCTGCTTAGCTGGCCCTGGGCCTCACTCTGCCAAGTCAGTCACAAACATTTTCCTGTAAAGCTGGACCAGGAAAAGAAAGAAAGCACTTCAAACCAAATAACCTCTTCCATCTACATTTGATTTTTTTTTAAATTTTTATTTTATTTCATTATTTTTTGTGTGTACCATCAAATCAGATCTGACTGATACAGGAGGAGATTGTTCCTCCTTCTCCAGCAGAACATCTGGTGGATTTGAACCGTGTACCTCCGAGATTGCAGTGCAGCTTCTTGCCACTAGGCCACCAGAGTTGGCCAACATTTAGTATTTTTCAAAGCACAGTAATACTCATGATTTCATTTGATCCTCAGAGTAACCACGGGCCAGGTTACCTGGCAGATGTCCTTTTCAGGAAACCAAGACCCAGGGAGGGTCAGGTGATCAGGACAAGGGTAGAACCAGCAGCAAGACCTCCTTACACACACTCAGTTCCAGGCATGTAGCAGAAAATACCCGCCAACTCAGTGAACGAGGACCGAAAAATACAAAATAAGGTTCATTTTTAAACTGTTTTTCTTTAAAGACATCTGCCCAGTACTCACCAGTCAACAAAGAATTCTAAGTAGCCTTCATTTGGTCTCTCCAGCTTCGGTGTCCCCATTTCTGCTTTCACTCCCACCAAGATGTCCGTGTGGCCCTGTGGACAGAGACACCGGAGAAGGGTTTTCACTCAGGGCAGGTTGCCAGACATCCAGCCACTGCCCCCGCTCCTGAATGCCCACCACCAGGAGCAGTGCTGGACCTGCCAAAGTGATGCAGTACAGACCCCCCTCCCTGGGTCTGGCTTGAGGCCAGGTCTCCCCAAGAGCTGTGAATACCCCATAGGCCTGCAGTGGTCACCTCGAGCCTCCCGCTCCTCCACATAAGCCTGGACTGTGGCCACTCCACTCACCAGCTTGACTCTGGCAGATCCACTGGTGTTAGACACCGTGTCAGTTTCCACTTGGACAGACCGGTAGTCCTCGCAGCCACGGCCATCCACGCGCAGGTCTTCCTGAGTGTGACAACCACAATCCTTAGGCTACAAATCCTTAGGTTCAAACCGAACCACTCCCTATCCCCAGGAGAAATAGGCACTATCTTCTTTATCTTCTTTCTTAGTGAACTATCTGAAACTCAGTCCCCATGTTGTTGTTACGGGTAGATGTCAGAGTCGCTTCCAGCTAAGAGCAATGCTAAAAACAAAGGAACAAAAGACAGTCTTCATAACCAATAACAGCACTATTCTTTTACATGAGGAAATAGACACTCGGGGATGTAAAGCAACTTGGCCAAGGTCTTACAGTAAGCAAGAGCAAAGCCAGGTTTCTTTCTGCCCTAGGCTCACCGAGCTGCAAAGTCCACACCACACACCATTACAATAAACGCTGTTGCTATGTACCATTGAGTTGGACACGGCTCATAGCTGAGCCTCCAGCAGTTTTCAGAGGCAGTAAATCGTATGAGACGAGACGACTCATCTTTCTTTTTCCTGTGAAGCAGCTGGTGGATTCAAACCTTCTACCTTTGGGTTGGCAGCGAAACTCCCAACAATTAAGCCACCAGTCTTCCTATTATACTGAACAGGCACATGCAAAGAAGTAAAACTATAACAAGAGGCAAAATAAGCCATCTGTCTTCAAGTGCACAATTCTAAAACTGCATCAAGAGTGTGTTTCCAGAATCACCAGGTACAACTGTCTCAGCTGCAGCTCCTGTGCCCAAAGAATTCAACAAACGCTGCTCTGTAATCAGCTTAAAAAAACCCAAAAAACCAAACAAAAAGCACATAGCTGATATATCATCTGAAATGTAAGTTTTCTCTAGAACAGACTCAGTCATGCCCACTGCTTTGCCGAAGGCTGCTGTCATGCTACAAGAGCAGGACTGAGGTTGCTAGAGAAACCATACATTTTGTGAAGCCTAAAACATGTTACGGTCTAGCTCCTTATAAGGAGAACTTTAATGGCCTAGTGGGTAAGGAGTTGTCTTTACAACCCAAAGGCAGGTGGTTCCAAACTCCCAGTTGTTTCATGGGAGAAGGATGAGCAATTGCCTCTCAGGCGACATACAGCCTCTGAAAACCCACCGGAGGACCAACTATGAGTCAGTCTGGCTTGACAGTAATCAACTGAGTTGAAATGAGCTCCTTCTGGGGAAAGTCCATCTGCTTTTGATATTTTGTTGTTGTTGTTATGTGCCATCGAGTCGCTTGCGATTCACAGCGACCCTATGTGCAAGAGCTCTAAATGCCATTCTATCCTGTGCCAACCTAGCCATCTCAAATACACTCATTCCCACCACTCTAGGCACAGAATTGATCCATCTCATTAAAGGTCTTCCTCTCCTTCACTGCCCCCTCTACTCTACCAAATATGATGTCCCTCTCCAAGGACCAGTCCCTCCTTGCAACATGCCCAAAATATGTCAGACGAAGCTTCAGAATCTTTGACTCCAAAGAGCATTCCAGCTTCACCCTTTCCAGGATGAACCTGTTTGTTCTCCTAGCAGTCCATGGTATATTCAACTTTCTTCTCCAGCACCACAGCTCAAAGGCATCAATTCTCTTTCAATCATCCGTCACTGTCCAACTCTCCGATGCTACAGAAGATGGATTTCAGGCTGCTCTATGCATTGCCCTCCCTAATTGTGTGTGTGTGTGTGTGTGTGTGTGTGTATAAAATTAATTTGAAATTGTGTTATAACTACAGAAAAGTTGCAAAGTTAGCCAAAAGTTGCCATGTCTTTAATAAGCTTCTCTTGTCAACAACTTACATAATCATTTTACCCTATGGAAACGAATGAACTCTGGTACAGAACTATCAACTAAACGGCTGACTTTACTCCCATGATACCAGTTTTCCCACTACTGTCTTCTAGCTCAGGATATAATCCAGGGCCCCACAGTGCATTTAGCTGACATGTCTCCTTTACTCTGGGATTGCTCCTCCAAATTTTATCTTCTTGATACTTGTGAAGAATAATGCAGAGCACTGGGCTCTTAATGCCCACCTCACAGCAACCCTACAGGAGAACTGCCCTACAGGGTGGAAGGGTGACTAGGGTCCTCACAGCAACCCCACAGGAGAGGAAAACTGCCCCACAGGGCTGAACGGTGACCAGGGTCCTCAGTGTCAGGTGCTCTATCAGTCTTGAAGGGATCAGGAAAGCCAGCTGTATGCCTCTGAGTTTTAGCTCATGGTCTCCCTCACTCTATCCAAGACCTTCTGTCGTGATCCTTTTCAGAACAGTCCATGGTGGCAGGTGGAAACAATCTAGTTCTTCTGGCCTTAGGATCATGGAAGCTGAGATTCTGATCTCCCATTAATCCTTCAGATGAATTCGTACATGGAGATGAATTCTCATACAGAGTAAGTTTATAACCCTGACTCACACCTTTCCTAATTATAAACCCTTATTCTGTCAGAAAGCTGTTTCTTGGTCTATGTAGAACTTTCACATGAACATATTCTGGGATTTCTTTCACAATGTCAGCCATAATGTGTTGGTGGTTGACAGGTGCCGTCAACTATATCCCTGCATGGGAACAGACTGAACAGCAACAACAGTGAGTGAGAGTGAAAGCAAAAGTCGACAGAAATACTGTACTACACAGATACTGTGTTAGGACATTTACAGCATGAAGCTGTGAGTAAGGAGTTCTGAAAATATACGACCAGTAGAATTAATCAAACAAGTAAATATTACCGCAGATAACACGGGCATCTGAGAGCTGGTCAATGACTAAGGATGATCGAAGAAGAGTTGATGCCTTTGAATTGTGATGTTAAGAGTGCTGAATACCCCATGGACTGCCAAAAGAGCAAACACATTTGTCTTGGAGAAGGTGCAACCAGAGTGCTCGCTGGAGGCCAGGGCATGTTGTTAAGAGAGGCTATTCCTTGGAGAAGGGCATCATGCTTGCAAAAGGGAAGGGTAAGCTGAAGAGAAGACAAGTCGATCAATACAGAAACTGCTGCAAAGGGTGCCAGCATGTCAGAGATTGTGAGGGTGGCACAGGACAGGACAGGTTCAAATTTGTTGTTTATAGGGTCACTCTAAGTCATACTTGACTCAACAGCACATAACAAAAACTTAACACAGATGACCTGGGGCTCAGCTCCCATTCAGATAATAGCCATGAAAACCCTACTGAGCAGTTAGATACTCTTTAGCACCTTTTTTTGTTCTTAACAATGTATCAAAAAATTTTCCCTATGTCTGTGCTTAGAATCTTGCTTAGTATTTGTTAATGTTTTTGAAAGAATTTTTTTATCTAAAAGAATTAGTTTCATCAGATTCTCAAGGTTGAAGTCCCCAAAAGTTACAAAATAGTAATAAGAAATCACTATTGTAATATATGTAACTATACTGAAGTTATCTACCTGTGAGTAAATGACTTATGTTGCAAAATAAAAACAGAAAAGCAACCTACTGCATGTTCCCACTAAACTACCCTGAGCTTTGCTCCAGTTCTTTCCTCTCATCCTTCCCCCTCCCTTTTAAATGATAGAAAAGAAACATCATCAGATTGAAGCTTCCTGTGCAGGCTGTTCCATCCCTTTACAAGGTCTCTAACTTGAGCCTGAGGAGATATGTATTTGTATAAAATAACAAAATTTTCAGTCTAAGAGAGGGAGCCTTTGTAGTAGGAACCTACCCCAACATCCTTCTTCCCTGCAAATTGTGTCCAGCAGTTGAGATTACTTATAGTTCTGAACGTTTGCCTTAAGGGTACCTCCTTTTGTTGTGTGTGGCAGAGTAGGAACCAACCCACAGCTGACCCTCCAGTGGGCTTTCAGAGGCAGTAAACTGTATAGGAGAAAGCCCCTCCTTCTCCCACAGAGCAACTGGTGGATTCGAACCGCATGCCTTCGAGATTGCAGCACAGATTCTTACCACTAGGCCACCGGAGTTCCAATTTGCTCTTTAGTATATAAATTTGCCCTCACAGTGAAAGGACTGAATCAATCTCAACTCACAACAAATTCTCCAACATAACCACCTTCTCTTGTTGCACACATATCTTTGAAATTATCAAGAAAATCTGAGTCTTTTCTTGGACGAAACAAAAATAAAACAAAACAAAATCAACCCCACCGCCATCAAATCGATGCCAACTCCCAGTTACCCTCTATCAGTTTTGTGCAGTTGTAAACCTTTACAGGAGGGAGAATGTCTCGTCTTCCACTCTGAGCAGCTGGTGAATGCAAACTCCAGCATTAGCAGCTCAACACATGGCCCCTATGCCCCGATGAAAACCACTCGCACTCACCTCTTCAGACTTAGCCCAAAAATCAACTTGAAGACACAGAATGGATCTCATTCATAACCCAAGGACTGCCTGCAGATGTATAACCGTATCGTCTCACAACACTACACACAGAACCAGGAGTCTTTCTAGATCAGTCTCAACCCTCACAGTTGGTCCAATTCTACAAATGTGCCCAGACAGGTAAACCTGGTCCAGAGAGTGCAGGCATAACACAAGTGTGAGGGATCACTAGGCATTTGGTTCAGGTCTGGCCCTGCCATTCTCTACCTGCCATTTCACTTCACTAGTGTCCCTTTCCTCTTTGGAGTAGTATTTTATTTATAAAAGACAGAGATAGAATGAGAAGGCTCAAAGGTGCCTCTCTTTCTACGGCTGCATCATACAATAATAAAGACAAGTACAGGGATTCTCTCCTTCCATGGCCCATGGACCTCTTCTTGAGGACTTTGAACTCTACTACTGCCAAAGCAAGCCAAAACATTCCCCAAAAGAGTAAAGGAACCAAATACTGAAGGGAAGAAACTGACCATATCAGATCAGAGGTGAGAGGGAAAACACAAAATGGACTACACAAGCGGGAACAGTATTCCCTACTGTTGTTAGGTGCTTTGAGTTGCTTCCCCACATAGGACAGAACAAAGAGGGGAAGCACTGCCGGGTCTTGCACCAACCCACAATCGTCACTATGCTGGAGCCCTTTTTGTAGCCACTACGCCAAACCAAATCACTGAGAGTCTTCCTTTCACTCACTGACTCTGAACTTTTTCCAGGCATGATGTCCTTCTCTGGGGACCAGTCCCTCTTGCTAACAGTATGTGGAGACAAAGTCCCACTATCCTCACTTCTAAGGAGCATCCTGGCTATACTTTTCCCAACATAGATTTGTTCACTTTTCTGGCAGTCTGTGCTATTCACCAACACCACAGTTCAAAGGTATCTTCTTATTCATTGTCTAGCTCTCATTTACAGAGGAGTGCAATAAGAATACCATGGCTTGGGTCAAGCACACCTTAATCCTTAAAGTGATCTCTTCCATATTCCACAAAGACACTTCCTAAGTTCATTACTGACATTCATTGTCCAACTAAACAAAAGTTTAAGCAAATTTAAAAAAATGGGTCAGAAGATTCTACAGAATAAAAAGTTCATTCATCTACATTCCACCAGTGTTTTGCCTTTGCATAAATAATGAAACTTTGTAACTAATATTAAGGCTTGTTACTCTGCCAAGTTCTGTGATACAAAGAGCTGAGTACCAACAATTGTGGCCTCAATGTCTCCTCAAGACTAATGAGAAATGGAGATGATTTAAAAAACAATCATTTAATCCATCTTCTCCTTAGCCCTACTACCTTACTTACTGAATGACACTGAGTAACTACCAAGTGCTGGACACTGGTAGGAATACTGCTGGCCTAGGAATACCACATAGACAAGCTGTCAGGATCCGTAATGAGTGACTGGGGTTTGGATCAGCTCTGCAACCCGCTATTATCCTCAGTTCTCCTCTGTGGCTGGTCCCATGCTTCCTCTTCCCAAGGACTCACCATCCTAGATAGAGAACTCCTGACTACTTAACGCCCACTCGCTCTGAAACATCAATGCCATTTCCTTAGAGACTCTCTCAGACGAGATCAGATTTCGTTTCCCTTGACAGCAGTCAGCACAATTTCTAATTAATCATATAAACAAACCCGTCTGTAAATTCTGCATCATCTTTTTAGCACACAGGTTCTCTCCTATCTCCCAAGTCTAGTTCAGTTCTGTGTTGAATACTGCATTCAAGAGATACACAGAAGGGACTCTTGGTGTGGATTTAGGGAAACAAGTCTACATTCTCAGGGAGGATTCCCTGAGCAGTACAGTCCCCTGAAATTTTCCTTTGACCATCACTATACCACTCCACTCCCTTAGCAGAGATCTTATATCTCATTCCTTTTTATTCATTGTTCCTATCTGTTCCCCGTATTCTTCATTCATTTATTTCACAAATATGTTTTGGCACACTGTTTCCCACATAATATGGTTGGTTATAAAATAGTGACTAAAATTCAACTCTGCCCAGACTGCATCCTGTGCATCTGAAGGGCTTTGCCCACCTTGTCTCAACAGCATTCAACATATAAAACCCAACTCAACTCACTGCTATTGAGTCGGAACTGGGTTCTCAGAGACTGTAAATCACAAGGGAGGAAACTGTCCATCTTTCTCCCGTAAAGCTGCTGGGGGATTCGAACTGCCAGAATGGTAGCTTGTGAGTTAGCTGCACAACTCTCCATGGACTACGCCACCAGAGTTCCCAACAAACATACACGTGCTGATTGATTATAAAGTAATAAGTAAAAAAAAAAAGATAAATAAAGTAATAAGTGAGAAAGACGTACGCCATGGTGCATCGCTGCCATGGGAACTAAGGATGTTCTAGACATCTCTAACCTTAGGGGGTTCCAGACCAGAAGAGTCCATGTGCTTTCCTACCAGTCTTTACTCTTTACTTTCCTATCATGGCCCTTGGTGTCATTATCAGAGATGGAATTTGAGAGAACTGGTTGTAAAGCATAACCAGTATTTTGTGTCTGTGGTAGCAAAGAACTCAACGATTTTTTTAGGCTTAGAAATAAAACTTAAACTTTTTAAAAAACAAACCAAAAAACTCCATAATCTTAATGTGCCCCCAAGAATACTTTGAAGAGAAATTCATTTGATTTTTGTAGGCACAAAAATGAGACAAGGACAAATCCAATTCCTTTGTCAGCATTTTCACACTTCTCCAAACAGCAACATATACTGCTAATACAGAAACAAATGTATCTTCTTGTTCCTGACACTAAGTATAACTTATTCACTGAACTGTGGGAGTTCTAGTGTCTCTAGGTTTAATAGATAACTGTCAACTAAGTGTTGACATTTACTTCCTTTACAGCAAGCACGTTTATAGAAAAACAGAAAGCAGTTTTTAAAAGGACAAGTCTTAACTCACAGTTGTGGAACTTTAATAACAGATAGTTGCCTCAGTTCTTACAGCTCCATTACAGGACCACTGCCTTCAGTTACCCGTGGCATTTTAAGGGCCTGAAAGGAGGCGTTGTTGTTGTTATGTGCCGTCGAGTTGCTTGCAACTCATAGCGACCCTATGTACAACAGCCCTAAAACCTGCTCTGTCCTGTGCCCATCTCACTGCCTCTGACACACCCATCCCGATTAGAGACCGCTGAAATACTCTGCCACAGGTGGGCTGAAGAACTCGGATGAGTGGACGCCACCGTGACATTAAAAATGGGGTCAAAGCCAGAGATGGGAACGGGGCAGCGACTTAAGAGGCCCAACATCTTCCTGGAGTGGTGAAAAATAGGGGTTGTAGTCTGAGCAAGGAGAAACTGGATTCTAGCTGGATGTAAGGATCTCAGTTCTCCACTGGCAAAATGAAACTTTAGCAACGGCTATGCTAACGGGCTGAGCAACGGCGTTTTAAGCCACAGCATCCTTCCCCTTCTATTTGAAAAGCAATGTGCATCTTCAAAGCGAGTGTGCGCTGTCGGTGCCTCTGAACAAGAGGAGGCGAGCCCCAGACATCCCTCCATCATCCATTTCCTAGAAAAAAAGGCTGAGGTCAAGAGAGAGCGCCCCGCAGAGGGTGGACACCTCCCCCAGGAGAAATCCTCTCCATGCCTAGGACCGGAACTTTATAGACCTGAAACACTGCAAAGGCGTAAACTAGGGAGAGAGGTTCGTCGCCCAGACCCACAACAATAGCGCTGCCGGCTTCAGCATGCAGGCGCCCGCCAGTCATTCCATCCACGGGGTAAATGGAGAAGCGCGCCAGGCCGGCCGCCATCCCGCTCTGCGAACGCAGGCTGGACACGGCTCGCGGGGCCGGGGTAACCTCGCGGTGGACCTCCTGCCGCAACTACCTGGACGCCATGCACGATGTACACCTTCTCCGCCTCGCTCAGCGACACCGACGCCATGCTGCCGAGTCGCCCGGCGTGCGCGCTACGTCATCCGCCCGCACCGCCCCCGAGACCACGCCCCCCTGCTCCCGCGCGTCATCAGCCTGCGCGGCGGGCGCTCCTGCAGCCGCCGCTGCCGCTGCCACTGCCGCCGTCGCAGCCGCCGCCGCGGGGCTGCTCGATGGGCTTCTCCTACGCGCCGCCCCGCGTCTGGCCGAATCCAGGGAGCAGCGGCGCCTCGAGCCGGAGAGCGATCGCCGCTGCCCGAGGCCGGCTCTCAGGACGAAGACTGCAGGAGGGGGCGACGGAGGCGGCAGCGAGAGTCCCCCCGGAGGCCTGGGACTGGGGAACTGCCTCCGGCTTCATGGTCAGTTGGAAGGGGGAAATTGGGGTGTAGAAGCTGGCGGGGGGGCTGGGCGTGTGGGCCCGGACTGGGAGGCGGGCGGTGGAAGAGGCGCTCGGTGCATTCGCTCGTAGCTGGAGTTTCAGAGTGTGTGCGAGTGAGAGACCCCGGGTGAGAGGCAGCCGGACGTCGTGATTGGCCCGGGGCGCTATCTCCCCACTCTCCCCGCCCCTCCATTTCTCTGCTGCTGAGAATGGTGCACAGAAAAGGCGCTGAAAGCCCTCTTCGGCTCTCTCTCGATGAGAAGCATGCGGGCGAGGAGTGAGGATACTAGTCCCGAGGCGTCCTGTCGTTCCCTCCCCAGCCCCCAGCTCCACCTCCAGACCTCCCCTCGGAGGTCGAATGGAACCTGACCCAGGACCTTGCAAAGGTCCACTTCCCCCGAGAGCCGCCGGAACATTGTCCCGGATAAAGTCGGGAGGAGGCTCTTGGCAATCGGCGCTGGCGGGAGCACTGTGGCCCTGCGCCCCCAAAGCTTTCCAGAGGGGCCCCGGCATGGAAGCCCCGGCATGATGGGGGTGCTCTTGGGAGCTGTGGAAAGTGCCCGGAAGAGGGGCGAGGAGGGAGCGGGAAAGGCTGGCTCCGCGCACTGGCCGAGATCCGGGCCTTGGCTATGCAAACTGGATACCTGCAAGGTGAAGCTGGGGTCACCGAAGAAGCCCATGAAGGAGGAGCGTGCAGGGTTGCATACAAGTGTTAAAGAAGCAGTGCGAGTAAATACGGGAAGGGAAGGTTGATCCACATTGGTCGAAAATAAGGAATGAGCCTAATGACCTCCTGATGTTTCATTTTTGAGGAAACGCCTTCCCTGTTGTCAAAAGTGAAAGTAACCCGTAACCCGTAGCTCTTTGATGGTCCAAAGACTGGTTTTCTCAGCTCGTGGCTTCAGTAGGATTTTATCCTGTAACGATTGGGAGCCTCCCACAAAATGGCTTTGTGTTAACTTTGGGACAGTAAACCAAGAGTCTAAGAAATGCAGCTCTGCCCAGAGAGGCTCCTTCCGCAGAGGGCGAGGCTGGAGAGTTGACAAAACCACAGAACAGTTGTGATGAGTGCTATGGTGGTGACCCCAATGGGTGAGGCAGGAGGTGAATCAGAAAAAGGTACTAAGAGGAAGTGTCTGCCTATTAAGTCCTTAAGGAGTGAGCCTTCAAAAGAGATGAATTTTTCTTTTTTTATTATTTTATTAGTAGATCGGGCATTCTCTCACTCAAGCTCATGGGTGTCAAGTCAGAACCAACTCATAAGATGTGAATTGCACTGGAGGAGATTGTCTTCCCCACTTCCCTGCTCTGGAGCCACTGGTGGATTCGAACTGCCAGAGAGCAACTCTCTGTGGAACTTCATCAGAACTCCTTAGAGATTGGCCGGCGGTTTGAATCCACCAGCCACTTTTGGAGAAAGATGGGCAATCTCCTGTGCTAGTTGTTGTTGTTTTATACCATTGAGTCAAAACCAACCAATAGCTGACATTACACACACACACACACACACACACACACTCCCCCCCCCCCCGGGGGTTTTTGAGGCAGTAAATTGCACAGTAAGAGATTGCCCATCTTTCTGTCATGATAACAGCACATGAATGTGAACTGTGTACTTTTGTGGTGGTAATGTGATTCCTTATCACTAAGCCACCAGCGCTCCCTCTGCAATTTACAGACTCTCATAACCAGCTGGAAGGTCAGCTATGAGTTGTTTCGAACTCAGGGCACCTAGTAACACAGTCTCTACGGTTTGCTTTAATGGTACATCTACAGGGAAGACTGTGTTTCAGGGCTGGACTTTTCCCTCCGGGGAAACTTGTTACATGCTCTGGAGTTAGAATCAACCTGTCACTGACCCTCCAACTGGATTGTCAGAGACAAAGTCACCTGGGAGGAGATTGCCCACCCTTCTCCCTTAGAGCAGCTGGTGGATTAGAACAGGGTGGCTTTGGCGGTTAGGCCATCAGGGAAACTAGGAGAGGTAGAGCTGGAATGGTTTCCTCTCTCATTAAGGCAAAGGTGCTCCAGTTGTGTGTGGCGGCTGGACACCTTTGTGTGTGCTGGGCAGCCGAGTCCTATGTGAGGAATTCTGTGGGTGGAGATTGCAGGGAATTGCTGATGGCCTGGTCCGTAGATCGTTGACACTGCTGACCCAAAGGTGGTGCTTTTGCTCAAAACCACCAGCTGCTGTGTGGAAGGCAGATGGACGTTCTCCTCCTGTACAGTTTACAATCCCAGGTCCAGTGGAGGGTCGGCTGTGAGTCAGTCCTGACACAATAGCAATGAGTCTGAGAGGCTTTTTTACGCTGGTATTAAAGACTACTTTGTACTAGTAATTGCCCAGTGAGGGAAGCTTTTGGTAGTGGGATTTTAGTAGCTAGGATAGCTCCGGGAACAGAGAATTTAAACCAAACTCTTGGATGCCAACCCAGTGACCCTCCAGTTGGGTTTCCGAAGCTGTTAGTTTTTATGGGAGGAGAGAGCCCATCTTCCTCCCTAGAAGCAGCTCGTGGACTGAAACCACAACTGTTTTGGGGGCAGCACAATGTGCTGTGCCGTCAGGGTCGCTGACCGCCGGAGAACTAAAAAGATGCTATCAAATCAACAGATCAGAAGAGACACAGAGTAGAGAAATCTGAATTTAGAAACCATGGAGTCATCTTTATAGGAAAACCTTTCAGTATGTATTTTAAAATACACAACATACACTTGAGCTGTCCCGTCAGCCAGCCAAGGGTTCATTGCTGGAAAAAGGTCAACAATAATAATAACACTGTTACAATTACATAAAATAAGTACTGTTACCAGTGATGGCCAATGTTAGGCCAAGTAGATATCAGAGGTATAAACAGTACAGTATTTATTTTCATTTCTCAGCGGAAACAATGAGCCTTGAATAAATGTTCTGCTAAAATATTGCCAGAACGTTTTTGTGCTATTTGATGTGATAGTGAATAGACAGTTTTAAAACCTGCATGTTTAGAGTTCAGCCACAAATTGAAGACATGGGTAGCAAATATTTCCACTAATCCAGCTTGTTCTCCTGTCACTGTAAGTTTCTTTTGGAGGCATGTCATTTAAGATTCTGTGTATTCTAAAACACAGAATTTAATAATTGTATTTAACACCAACTAATTAGTGTTTAACTGATTAGTTACCAAGAACTCTTCTAAACACCTGACAAAAGTTAATGCGTTCAGTCCCCACCACAGCCCTCTGAGCGAGGTACTATTACTCTCCCATTTTACCAGTTGGGGAAACCAGAGTCCAGCTAAGTGAGGTGTTATGAGCCCAGCGCCTTGAGTTCAGGCGATGTAGCACCTGTGCCTGCACCATCTTCACCTGTGCTGCCTCCCTCACAAGGTGCCCTTTCATGCACCAGCGTTGTGGGTGAAGGAAGCCTCTGTTGTTATGGATGTGGCCATTGCTGTACAATCCGTGTGGTTACTTATCACAACCAACCACTCTCCCTGCAGCTCACAGTTAGACAGTCAGCTGTTAGGGTGAGAAGGGTAAACCCGCTGTCTTCAAGTTTATTTCAACTCACGGTGACCCTCCCCTGGGTTTCTGAGGCTGTAAATGTTAGGGTGGAAACCGCCTCATCTTTCTCCTTGGTTACCTGGTGAATTTGAACCACCAAACTCCCTGTTAACAGCCCAGTGTATGACCCAGGGCTGCACCACTAGGGAGTCGTTACCCAGGGCCTATAATTAATTTTCATTCCAACAGTGAGAAATCTGTTTGAATTGCAAACTCATATCCTTAGACTTTTCTTTTCTGGTGAAACATGGGATCTAATGCTAATTGGAAATTTCTATGACTTTTTCCACTCAATCTTTTAGCTGAAGAAAGGTGGTTAGATGCAGACCTAGTAGAGCATAATTCCAAGCGGCCCATGGGAGTCCTTACCACCAAAGGAAGCCACTGAATAGAGAGTGTTAAAATGGGCATGGCATCCCAGTTTCCATCTATGTGCCATATACGTAGACAAACATCTAAAAGGTTCATTCAATCTAGAAGTAGTGTTTGCATGCCTGAGAAGTCCCTGATGTTTTCATGGGTCTGGGGAAAACAAAGCTCAAAAGGGTTTTGCTGTTATACGCCATCGATTTAGAAACAACTCATACATAGCTGACCGTCCAGTGTGTTTCCAGAGGCAGTAAATCAGGGAGGAGGAGATTGCCCATCTTTCTCCCTTAGAGCAATGCATGGATTTGAACTGTGTGCTTTTGAGTTGGCAGTGCACCTCCTTACCCACTAGGCCACCAGAGCTCCCTACAAGGGGTTTGTAGCCAACCCTCCCGTGGGTGTTCAGTGGCAGTAAATAGCACAAGAGGAAATGGGCCATCTTTCTCCTGCAGAGCAGCTAGTGAATTCAAACTGGGGTATCTTTGGGTTGACAACATAGCTCCTTACCACAATGCCGTTGGAGCTCCCTGAAAGGGGTTTAGGATCTATTGTAGTTGAGACCTAGCACTTGAAGTAATAGATGAACAAGGCAGTAAAAGTACTCAATTGAGAGGCATGGTAATTACAGGAGAGACCAGCCTATAATAAGATGCTAATTGTGCAGGCCAGGAATCAAGTGCAAAAGGTGAGGAGCTGCTATTAGCCATTCACTGACAACAATAACATTACAGAGAGGAAGTAAAT